CAGCCGTACTTGTACGGCTAGCCACTTCGTTTGCAAAATGGTTACCTAAATATTTTTTTCACAGCCATGGCTACAACAACAAAGAAGAAGAAGCGACTCAACTATTCAGAGGAGTCGATGATTGCTGCATGTGACTGTGTCAGCAAAGGGATGATGTTAAGAGAGGCTGCAAGGACTCACGGTGTGCCGTACCCTACCTTGAGAGCACGAGTCAATGGTCGGTCATCCATAAGACAGGTAAAGTATTTAAAAATTCTCATTATGTGAAATTCTATGATTTCGTTATGTCAAACCCCATTATATTATTTATACCGGCTACCTTGGGACACCATAACATATATTTTGTTCGGTAGACGGCGGAAGCCTAGTCTTCGATTTTAGACCGCCAAGGGACTTTCACTTTTAACATGCGCACCTTGCCCATGTGAAATTCTATGATTTCGTAATGTCAAACCTCATTTCATTATAAAATACTATTTATACCGTCTACCTTGGGACACCATAATACAATGGAATCCACTTATAACGAGTCCTGAAATAACGAGAAGTCTGTTATAAAGACACTTCTTAAACCCCGTTTTTTTCCCTTCTTTATCTTTGTAAATAAAATACTGCTATTGCGCAGTCAGACAAACGTGCAAGTCGGTTATAGCGGAAGCTGCTGCTGTGCACAGCACATAGGCCATTTATATTTATGCAATATCTCGCCAGTTGAGAAACTTGTTGGTGATCTTGCGCAAGAAAGAATGGGAGAGCCCACATGTGCCAACAGGCCGGAAAGAATGAGTGGGGAGGATGTGGTATGCGCAGACAAGTAAAACGCATTGCGTGATAAACCAACCAAATCTAGATTATCTAGGCCTACCACGCCTATCACTTCTCCGATGCAGGGAGGGAGAGGTCACAACGATGTGACTGTGATGGGATGGAAGGAGCGAATGTGTGACGTGCGCAAGCAGACGGAACGCACCACAGGGTGCGGTAGGGTGGGGGACAACACAGCGGGCGAGTGAGCCTAGAGAACTTTCTTTCTGATCGCCAACTCCGAACTATCAACATCACTAGCGCCAGAGAAAGAAAGAAACCTTTGTCGATTTTGGATCTAGTAAGACCTAGAGATCATGTTGAACCAAATCATCATCAAGGAAGATTACAGAAAAAAAACCCCAGAAAACCAGACTCATAGATTCAGCCTACTGTACTATTTCTTTTAAATTTATTACAGGATCCCTTATTACGAGAATACTGCTATTATAACGCATGTTTCGTACCGGTCCTCTCCCTCTCGTTATAACAGGATTCCACTTTATATATTTTGTTCGGGTGGCGGCGGAAGCTGAGTCATTGATTTTAGACCACCAAGGGACTTTTAACATGCGCACCTTGCACACCGGGGCCCTCAGAGCTTATCCGAGAAGGCTATCATGTTATCTTACCTACCAAAAATCAGGGGTGTGGCTGAAAGACAGTAGTAAGAAGGAGCGGAGGAGTAGCGGTAGAAAGGCTGCAGAAAGAGTCAGGAGCCCACATGTTTATGCTAATTGTTTGTCTTCCCTTTTTCAGGTCCATCGTAAAGTGGTACAGGATATTGTAGTGAAATTTTAAACAATATACAATGATTAATATGTTGGTTCTTTCTCTAGGTCCAGAGTTCAGTACAGTTCAAGAAAATAAAAGTGTGGCTAATTTTAATCGGTTGCTTATTTTTCTTTCATTAGATTGACAGGACAGTGCTAAGCCGAGAACAAGAGAATCGGCTTGCTGAGTGGCTGACAGAGTCGTCAAGGCGGGGATTCAGGCGGACAAAGAAGCAGCTGCTGTCAACTGTCCAGAAATGCCTGAACTTTAATGCAGAGACCACCGTCTTCAAGGACAACATGCCTGGGGAGAAGTGGTACCGTCTGTTTCGTGAGCGTCACAAGAACAAGCTCAGCCAACAGACTCCCCTGGCACTTGGCTCACAGAGGGCTGCTGTCAACGAGTCCAAGATTCTCACCTGGTTCCAGAAGGCAAAAAAGGACATCAGTCAGGTAGACCTTACAGTGTTGGAATGCCCTGAGAGACTCTTCAACTGTGATGAGTCAGGGTTTCAGCTGGGAGGAGGGGTGAGGAAGGTATTGGCTGCTACTACAAGAACAGACAAACGAGTCTCCCAGGTGACCAACGACACCCACAAACAGGTAACAGTTCTTGTTTGCGGCAACGCCCTGGGTGAGCTCCAAGCTCCCCTTCTTATCTTCCCTGGTCAGCGCTTCACCTACAACCCTCTCGAGGGCTTTGAAGAGGCTCATATGGCCAAGTCAAGAAATGGGTGTATAGACTGTGAGATTTTGGCCAGGTGGATGGAGACTGCTTTCTGTCCTGCTGTCGCACATCTGCAGAAACCTGTCGTACTCTTTGCTGATGGCAACAGCTTTCACCTGACCCTGGAGATCCATGAGATTTGCCGGTCTCATGGCGTCATTCTGTATCAACTGCCCAGCCTCAACCATTCCAGCCGCATCGTTCAACCGCTGGACCTGACGAGCTTTAAAAACCTCAAGCATGCGTGGTATGAGGAAGTGATGAAGTACCAGGAGGACAACTCAGACACGTTGTCAAAGCAACATTTCGCCAAAGTTTTCAAGAGTGCTTGGGACAGGCGGGGGCATGATGGGGATGTTCTGGTAAATGGGTTTAGGGCTTCTGGTATCTTCCCCTGGAACCCTGATCGCTTTGACAGGACTAAACTGGCACCTCCCAGGATGTTCCAGACAGTGCAGACAGTCGACTCTACAGTGACAGCAGAGACAAATGGACCAACAGTGACAGAACCGACAAACGAACCGACGATAATAGAATATGAGGATGAAACGACAGTGACTGAGGAGCCAATAATTGAAGTGGAGCAGACAGAAATTATTATTGATCAGACTGAAACAGCTAAAGACACTGACGTTGGACCATCCGCAGCCTCCCATGACCATAACATGACTGTCCAAACTGCCTTTGACAGACTGCTACACTTGACAGCCCGAGCAGGAAGCAGTGGTCTGGTGCACTACATGACCTGCTATGACCTTGACAAGACAACAGACGAGCCAGAGCAGCAGCTTTTTTCAAAGTTGTATGGCCGTATACAGACCCAACTGGTGACTGGACTGACTGACACGAACAAAGACAAGACTGCCCACAGACCAACTATTTTTTACAACCTTCCTCTTCCAGCTCGCTGGGGCAGGAAAAAACGGACGGTCATTGACCCACCTGAGATGGTGTCCTCTGACGAGTTTAACATTTCTGAAGAAAACTTAGAAAAAAAGAGGAGAGATGAAGAGAAGAAGAAAAAGAAAAGAAAAAAGATTGACAGAGAAGAAAAGCGATTGAAAAATATAGGAGAAAAAGAAAAAAGACCTAGAGTCTAGATCTATATCTACCTATGTGGGCCTATCCTATATTCATTAGGCCCTAGATAATCTGTTTTTATTTAGTTTGAATTACGGAGTGTCTACATACACGGTAACTGGGCACCTAGTCTCAGTATCTACGTACATGACATTATCCTGTACTGTCACTTGCTGGGAAAAAAAAAGAAAGTCATACAAGCGTCTTGTTGGGCTCGCCATTGTGACCGGTGTGTGAACCTGTGCGTATGCATCACATTGTGAGAACCGGTTGGGGTCACCAAAGTTCATTCAAAGTCTTGGGCTGCGAAGTATAGGTCTCCGGAATGGGGGGAATTATTGACTATTTTTTAAAGGCACAGTCGGGGGGAGGGGTGGGGATGAAACACAGAATTCTACACTGAGTGTAGAATTCTGTCGGATGAAGGCAACACCGGATGACAAAAACTGAACTTGAAGTACTGAACTGCCCGGTTACCAAGTACGTGACACTGACACTACGTGCCCGGTTGCCAGTTACTGTGTACGTAGATATTGAAGCTACATGCCCGGTTACTGTGTACATGACACTGAGACTACGTGTCCGGTTGCCGGTTACCGTGTTCGTAGACACTGAGGCTAGGTTCCAGGTTACCGTGTACGTAGACACTCCGTTTTTATTATTTCAAAATTACCCGACTGTCTTTGTTTATTTATTCATAATAAATAATCTAGGCCTACTTTTACTTTTATACAAAGCTTTTTGCCAGAAATTGTTACCATAGCCATAATAGCCATGGAAACACTGGTCTAGGCCCTTCTACTGAGACAGAACATGTTGTAGGTCTGTGGGCATGTAGATCTTCATTGTACAGATAACTGTAGCAATTATTTGTACAATTGTGCAGCAATTGTGCGTACAATGTTGTACGGATAACTATAAAACAGAGATGTTCACACAATTGCACGGATAACCACATTGATAGGCATTGTACATATGTATAAATAACATAATAAATATTAATGTAGAAATCTACCAGAGTCTCTGATAGGTCTGATACCAAAGAGCTAGATCTAGCATCTGCGTTTGGCGCGATTTTTTTTTTTGATTTTTTGGTCCGGGAATCACAGCCGTGATTTTTTCGTTTTTCAAAAAAGACAAAACAACAAATAAGCTACTTCATAACATGAGACATGTGTTTTGATAAGTTTAAAGATGTTTTTCCATGTGTATCTATTTTCATGCAGAGAATATTACATTACATTACATACTATTCATTGCTGTTTGTCTTTTATTTTTCCCTCTTTGTTTGTGTTTTATTTTGTCGGTGTGTTAATTTTTTTTTTTATTGTTCTGATGATTTGTTTTTCTTTTGATTTCATAATTTATATCTAATATCCTTAGGTCTACTTTTTCTTGATTTTTACACTCGTTTAGGCTTAGGGCAAGGACTACTTTTGAAGTAGTGCTTGGCTTTTAGGGTTAAAACAGCCAATCTTCGGATAGGTGGACACGCCCTAATTTTAATTTTTGTGGTTATTTATCCGTGCTGTTCTAATAAAGATGTCATTCTGTTATGAAACTTTTATTTTTCACGATTTTATACACTGGGTAACTACAATAATTACAAATGATATTCTGGATGCTTAAAACAGAGCACAAGAAATTCTGGTGCTTTAGGCCTAGATTGTTGTTACCTCTCTATCAATTCAATATATATATATAATATATATATATATATATATATATATATATATATATATATTATATTATAAGATCTATATTTTATTAATTGCTATTATGTCGTCACAGAGAGTTGAAAGCTTGAAAATAAATGGCAACTTTTTGGGCAACTTTTGCCACTTTATGTGGCAACTTTTGGACAAAAATTCTAGTTTTGTTTGTTAAAGTCCCAAGAGTCAAGAGTAGGGGGTGACCTAATAAAAATACGGAGGTGATGGGGTTCTGGGGGGGGGGGGGGGCATGCCCCCCTGAATTCTACTCTTTGATGTTTTGTAGTTAGGTTGCGTCCCTGTTCTTTGTGTTGCCTATTCGGTCATCAAGGCTTACGAATTTCTTCTCTGGATGTAAACAAATGGATTGTGGATTTTAAGTTACTTTAACGAACGGAACTCAAGATCACTGATAATACTAAACTAAATCTGGAGATCTAGACTGCATTCTAGTACTGACTAACTAGAGTCTAGCTAGAATCTACGATTTAGATCTCATCATCATCATCCTGTGCCAGATCTGCGACAGACATCGGCGATCATGGTTTTCCATTCATCAGTCCTTTGCTCGGATGCTCTCAAAAAAGCTACGTTTCCCTGATCTTTCCCTGTTACTAGTTACTGTTACCCATTTGTTTAGGTTTCCTAAGTATGTTGTTCTGTGCCTACCCCTGCCAGGCCTGCCTCGCTTGCCCTCAATTTTGCCAGTGAGAGCTAGATGTTCAAGACCCTTATTATGTCTATTCAGGTGTCCCAAAAATTGCATTTGTCGTTTCCTGATTGTTTTTAACATTGAGCGTACCAGTACCACGTGGGCTTCATCAAGCACTACCTCATTTGATTTCTTTTCCTTCCACGATACTCTTAGCAGTCTCCTAAGAAACCACATTTCTGTTGCTTCTATTTCATTTTCACCGTCTTTAGTGATTGTCCAGCATTCACAGTAATCACAGCCATAGATATATATAGAAGGGTTGATCAAACATAGCATTTCAGGACTTTCATTTTGGTGTTCATTGAGATGTTTCTATTTGTCAGGATTGGGCTCATTTTATTGAAACTTGCCTTATAGGCTACTGTCCCTAGCACAAAAATCACCTTGACCCGTCACTAATTGCAACAGAATTTCTGTTTGCGGTAAACTGTTTATTGTGATGCCAAGATACACTGTACAAAATTATACCAAAATCGGATGAGGCATAATGGTGTAATTAGGCTTTCAATGACGTCACAATAACATAACATACATAGGATAAGTAATACTTAACACACCCCCGTCGTGTCGCATCTCATATTAAAGCTTGGAATCTTGTCTTTTTAATTAGAAAGCTACATTTGTGATTATTTATGACCAGAGTGAGCTATTTGCGGATATCGTAAAGTTACATTAAGTATGACACTCAGTCATTAAGACAAAATATAATTAGAAAGGCACTATTTTAAGTTTTGGACCATGATGACTATACATCGACATGAATTACATAAATACATGTAGTACAGTGACACGTGGAACAGGTTAAAATGCGTTAATAAACATATGATATCTACTATTTCACAATAAGAAAAGTGGGCTACATGTAAGTATCCTCTGTACAAAACTAATGTTTTGTGAATTGAGGCAGCGGATACCATGGCACTGTGCACATGCTTGTGAGCGTTCCAGTCCATGTTTCCGACAGGAGCAGCGTCGGGTGTCACAGTTGTCCTTGTAGGTACATAGCAAATTTTCAGAAGGTCTGGTGGTGCTGCCAACAAGGTGGTCATGATGGGAACATAATGGCTATCCTCATATTTCCATCCCCATTCTGCGGGATTAAGCGTAACATTTCTCATCCACTGTTGCACCTGAAGAAACACTCTTAGGCTTTGATACTTAGATGCAACTGATGTCGGAGGAAGTGCACGGTCCTGTATAAATGTTGTGGCTGTTGCAACTTTTATGCAGAAGGCACGATGGTGTAGTTTCTCCTCAAGACTTTCTTCTGGTTTTCCATTGTACAGAAGCACAACGGCTTTCTTGCCTGAAGCAGCAACGCTTAAGGCAGATTGGTTTGTCATAAAATCTGTACTGAAGATTCTAAGAGCATCATTTTGTTGGAACTTTTTCAAAGTAGTGCCTTTCCCGATACCGAATGGTCTTGAGGTGGTGTCACAGCCAGAGAAGGAATGGAGAAAGAGCGAATTAATTGTTTAATATCCCATTGCTCCATTTTTAAGCTGGGATATTTTTGTTCGAGTAGAAATAATGTTATGAGCAAGTTCTTCAGCATAAGGTGCTAACAGAAGGAGAATATCTGTATCTTCTCCTATTACAGCGGTATCTTTGTGCTGCGCACACTTAATTCCTGCTTGGACAATCTTAAAGTCAGCATCACATTTGCTGTACATGACAATGTGTCCTCTGTCTTCACGCACTGACCTGAGGGCATTGATAAAAATGTTGCTTATTTTCTTTGTTGACAAGAAAAAGATCCTTTGAAGATTGGAGAACCATGTCTAACTTAAAATGAACAGCTTGTCCTGTAATTCCTTTGGCTATTTTGAGCTGTGTCATATCTTTTGTCGAGAGTCTAGACAAATATCCATAAAAAAACAAAGGTTGCGTTTGGATAACTCCTGCTGACATAAGAAGCATATTATGTCTCGATAATACTAATGAAGGTGCTCCCTCGTTGCCAGGGAATGTGCTGCAGTAAAGACCCTCCATCAAACGACGATCTGCAGGTTAGCTGGTGATGGCAGATCAGGCGTAATCATTGTCCTTGATTTCCTAAGTTCTTCTAGCAGAGCTGATTTTTTGGATTAATGAAGGATATTCAGACAATGACAAGGGGTAGCTGTAAAGGTCGCGTTTAAAAATCTCTATCTTGTCTTCATATTTTGAAGTTGCAGCTGTCACAAATCTCTGAAACAACAACTGAGAATCAATAGTCACAGGGTCGTGGTTACTCTATAGAGCTGTCTTTGCAGCCATTACAACAACTTTGTCTTTTTTATTCAAGGACAATTCTGAGACTGATCCACCTTCCATTTTGCTGAGAATAGTTTGACCAACATCTTGTGCTTTGTCAACGTTGGCAGCTGTTTCTGCAACCACCCCCGTAACGATATTTCTCAGACTAGCGTCTTCAGCCAACGGATTTCTCTCAGAAAGAAACTTGGTAACATCCATCATATCCTGGGCATCCTTTGCCGATCTCGATGGACTCAGTTCTTTGTGCTGTTCACTTGAGAGACGCAAAGTGCCTGTCACTTTTTGCATGGCGTTATTTAGTTCTGCGCAAGCTGGCATTGACAGAAGCCACGTTGCAGTCTGTGATTTGCTGATTCCCCTGCCTTTTGTCAGTCCCCCGGTTGATTTGACACTTCACATTCACATTTGTTCAATGGCTAAATCTGAAGAAAGTCCTGGCTTAAAGTTCAAGAGATCACTTCGCCGAATTACATGATGGCCGTC